GGTCCTCTGCTCCCGCCATATCTGCCTCTCCCACTGACCGTACTAATAACTCCCTCCTCCCTCAACCCCCCACCCTCCCCCCCACCCTTTCTACACCGCAACCCTCAGACATGGCTGGTCCTGACCTAAGGTGATCCTCCCCCCTCCCAACCTGCTGTATGGAATGAAACTATGTCTGAATCTGGATGTTCTGCTTTGGATACCACGAAGCCGCCTCCCAGAAGGTAACAAGGAAGAGAGAAAGAAATAAGGCCAATTAAAATGTAGGAAAACCCATATTAGTTAGCCAATGCAATAGGACAACAAAACCCAATTGCAAGTATCACAAAGTCCATTCTATGTGGCCATCACCAAAGAGAGGCTCCCAACATGATATTTTATCTTGAAAACATCCATTTTACAATATGTTGGGGTCTCAGACTGCTTTATTCTATTACTAACTATACTGTTACAAACTATTATTCTAAATCAGTCCTTCTAAATGCCAGAATCCTTATCACAGCTGCTGGATGTTTTGTGTGTGTGAGTCAGTTTGTGCCTTGGAATCAGTATTTTTTTTTTAACTTATGGAAACTACCTGAAATGGTTTGCCATTACCTGCTTCCTAGGGCTGAGAGTGGCTGGCCCAAGATCACCCAGCCAGTTTTGTGTCTATGGTGGGAACTCCCAGTCTCAAGGTCTCTAATCTGGTACCTTAGCCATTAGACCAAACTGGTTCTCTCTGGATGCTTTAAATCATGAAAAACCTACTGTATTACATCCCCTTAGAGAAGAGCTGACTCCCTACTCAAATGTACACATTGCTTGTAAGGTTTTTAAAGAGTGGGCAGAAAAATGCTTCAAATAAATAAGGATGCACATGGACTAGCTAGCATCACTTTCCATAAGTCAGCAATATGTCTACCATTTTTATACACCTGAGCAAAAAGGAATCTGTAGGGAATCACTTCCAAATTTTTTCATGCTGTGTATAAATCCTTTTTACTCTAAGCCTGTCTCTGTGATTAAGCAGATAAATATGAATGGGTTATAGTTCAAACGTGCAAATCTGGATTTAAGTGGTTTGTGAGAAATCTTAATGATGGCACTAATATTTTGAAAATATTAGTGCCAAAAGAGAAAATATTTTTTAAAGAAATCTTGGCTGCTTTCCTTTTTGTCTTTCTTTTACTATCCGGTAACACTTAATTGACGTTTTCAACTGAGGTGTCCATATACTTGCAGTTCTGGCTGCAGTCTCTTCACAGGGTTCCTTGTAATTCTTTCATTTAATAATAATAATTAACATTTCCACCTGCGATCTGGGTAAAACCTAGTGCCCTTGGCAAAAACGCGCCCCCTCCCCTTAAGAGGTCCTCCTTGGGCCGTAGAATTGCAAATCTAGGCCCGCCCCCAATGCAGCCAATCCGCAACACGCCACTCTTTATCCACAAATGGCTAAAACCATTGGTTAAGTCGTGCTTCGAAAGGCTGCTGGGAACTGTAGTCATATGGTTCTCCTTTTAACTCCCCCCCCCCGCCGCCATAGAAATACATTCACGGGTATGATCAAGAGGATTTCTGGGAGTTGTAGTCTAACTGGACTTTTCTTTGCATACGTTCAAAAAGATAAGTTTCTCTCCAAGCCAGGAATAGGTCGTGCAAACATTTTTATCACTTCTATTTTTTAATGTCTATTTAACACACGTGTACGCACACGCCCTCTCACCGCTCCGTTGATGAACCCTCATATCCCACCTGAAAAACGCCACAAATCCGTTTCTCCATCTCATTAATTGGTGCTCGGCGTTTCGCTCCTGATTGGCTGGTAGTAAAAAAAAGCACCTGCAGCTGAAAGCTATTTAAAGATTGCGGGGAAACAGCCTGGGACGATCAAGGGTGTTGGTTTGATTTGCGGAGCGTGCTGCGACTTCTCTGAGAAATCGACACAACGATGGCAGTGGTGAGTAGAAAAAGTAATGTAGGGTTGTTGTTTTTTCCTGGAGTCCAGAAATGCTGATGTTGCGCGGCCGGGAAGGGAAGTGATAACAGTAATATGACTATACTGTTTAGAGCGGTGTTTTTGAGGCTCGGCAACTTGAAAAGGGCTGGATTCCAACTCCCAGCATCTCCTAGCCAGCATGAGAGTTGGAGTCCACCCATCTTCAAGTTGAAAAACATTGCTTTAGAACTTGGTGTAATAAAAAAAGTTAGCATTTTGTCAGAAGTGCAAAAATTACACGGAGCTCGTGATAAAATGTACTGAAGAGAACATTAAAGGGAATGGTCCATAGAATAGAACAGAATAACTGAGTTGGAAGATACCTTGGAGGTCTTCTAGTCCAACCCCTTGCTCAGGCAGGAAACCCTATACCGGAGTAGGCAACCTTGGCTCTTTTATGACTCGTGGACTTCAACTCCCAGAATTCCTGACCCAGCCTCCTTTCTATTCCACAGCCCTGGTGGGAGAGCCTACAATGCAGTGTTTCTCAATTTTGGCAACTTTAAAGTGGGTAGACTTGCAACTCTCAGAATTCTGGGAATTGAAGTCCACCCATCTTAAACTAACCAAGTTGCATCAGACGCTGAGGGTAATTGACCCAGCTGTCGTGTTGCTTTTCCACATTTTGATCCAATCCATTTTGAGAGTATTGTGAATGGAATATTATCCTTATATGGAGAGTAATTGGATTATGTAATGAACAAAAAGATATTTATTTTCCACTGCTTTGGATCTCTCACTTATTGCTCTCCTTGGCAAAACTTGGCTTCTCACTGTGAGAAAAAAAAATATTGTCTTTTTTCTGCAATGTACTACATACCTTTACATAAATGCTTTGTACTTTCCAAGCTAAACTATCTGAAATTGCCCCAATTACTTAATCTTCTGGATTTCCCCACAGCTGCGCTCTCCTATTGAATTGCAAGCTTGTTTTTCTTCTTTTCCTTACATAAAATTTTTGTGGAAAGCTCTTTGTAATGGGTTTAATGTATACTAGTTGTTTTCTACCTATTTAGGATAACTTTATTCATAAGCAATTAAGTTTACAAGACTTAGCCTAAACAAAACCAGCTTCATGCACTACGCTAAACTTTAATTGGGTTTGCTTAGCTTTGGTTTAATATGTGCAATCCAAATATTGTAGGTTGCAAAATACAGCAAAATGTAATGGAATGCGAGAAAGTCCTTGAAATGGGGAATGAAGAATGGTCAGATAAGAGAGGGCGTATCCTTAGTCCAGTGTTTCTCAACCTTGACAATTTTAAGGCATGTGGACTTCAACTCCCAGAATTCTGGGAGTTGAGGTCCACATGCCTTAAAATTGTCAAGGTTGAGAAACACTGCTGTAGTCCATAATGGGCAGAGAAGGAGGCTCAGAGGGGACCCTCCTTAGTTTCTCAGACTCTAAAGGAGACAGAAAAAAATCCTATTTTCAGACTTGCAAGATTCTGTTATAATGCAGCTTTACAACAAAATAGAATTTGCTATCTGGTCATGTCTCCTCTCTGGTCTCCCTGGGAAAAATAAGAAAAATAGGTTAGATTAAAATATTAAGAAAGAAAAATAGGTTAGTATGATGTGCAACTCTAGTCAATTGTGGTTTATTCATGAAATCATGTGAAATAAATCAGTGATGTGAGAATTCGGCTATAGTCTATGGTAGAGATGGAAAATTTGTAAAAACTCTGAAGTGGGTGGAAAAAACAATTTTAGGTTTCTGGGAAAACACTTCCAGAATTTGAAATGCATGCAATTTTTTTTTTTAAATAACATCTGTTTAGTGCCTTTTGATGTTTAAACTAAAAATAACAAGGGAAGCACATCTAAGTATAAAGGAGGAACATGTGCTTTTTGCATGAAAAGAACTGTTCCTCTGAAAAAAAGTGCTTAATACATCATCATCTGCTCAGAGAAATCCTGCATGTTGCTTTACAGAGAGGTTTTATATAAAGGGGAAAAAAAACCAAGATCCCCAGGGGAAGTTTTTTTTCCCAGATTTTTTTTCCTGTTCCTTCAATTTTTATTACTAGTCATGAGCTAATTACAGAATGTTGATTAATGTTCTTTTATGTTTTGGGCTGGAAGTTTGGCGATTCTCATCCCATGCTCTTCTTTTTTAGCAACTGGTTTCTAACATGAAAATCAGGTCTGGCGACTGCATCAAAGTGAAAGCCAAGATAGAAATAGATGCTGAAAGGTTTGTCAATAAGAGAATTGTAGTTTGATTACAAAAAATGTGGGGTTGGATGGATATTGGGTTGAATTCATTCTGTGATAAAGGAACTCTGAATCCATTTCTGTTCAGTGGAAAGTTGGGCCTGCACATGTATCATTTAAATGTATCATTCCTTTGTTGTAATTTTTTTGGGAGAACCTAGGTAGTTTTTTTTTTAAAGAAAAGTCACAAGGAATTGTCTTTGCATGGTTATATAATGATATTCCCTGAATAGAATAGAATGGAATAGAATAGAATAACAGAGTTAGAAGGGACCTTGGAGGTCTTTTATCCAGTCTATCCCCGTGCTTAGGCAGTAAACCCTATACCATTTCAAACAAATGGTTGTCCAATATCATCTTAAAAATTCCAGTGTTGGAGCATTTTCAGTGAATGAATCCTTCAAGGAACTATAGTTCGAAGTCATTTAAAACACAGAGAAAATGAAGCATAGTGGTCTTTGACTTGAAAAAAAGCTTGAGTTTGGAATTGTTCTGCAATTCAGGGGGTTTTTTTTTTGCACGTGCATGTGGAGTACAAGCAAGATTTAAGACTGTTTTTCAAACTTGCCAACTTTAAGATGTGTGGACTTCAGCTCCCATGTTTACTGACTGGGGAATTTTGGGGGCTAAACCCACACACCTCTTGCTGATATTCAAAAATATTGATCCAGGGAAAGCAGAGAGTTAAAATTTGCCAGGCACATAGAATGAGAATGTGAACATGGTTTGGCACATCAGGTCTAACCTTTGAATGACTCAAAGGTCCAACATGTATTCATAAATTGCTTATTTCTGCATCAGATCCCAAATTACTCTTGAGGGTAATTGTTAGACAGTTATTCTAATGCAGTCAGACTATATTTTCTGCTCTGGAAGAGAAAAGCTTAATTCTCTCCTGTGGAATTGGGAAATAAAGATGAAAGTATAGAGTAGCCTTGTAAGTAAGGCTGCTCTGGACATCTCGTCTTTATGGTGTTTTTTTTTATACTTGCACATGTACCGTGGATGTAGAGGTCTGAATATGGCAACAGATTTCTTGGACTATCTACTAATGATCAAAACTTGTTCTTTCTAGTTTTGCCATCAACTTGGGCCAGAATGAGTCTGAGCTGGTCCTTCACTTCAACCCTCGCTTTGAGAGTTATGGGGATGTTAGGACCATTATCTGCAATTCCAAATCGTGTGGAGAATGGGGTATGGAGGTCAGGGAGGACATGTTCCCTTTCCAAAAGGGGGAAGAATTCAAGGTAAGAAAAACTTACTCCTCCACTTGGCATCTTCCTGATGTGTTCACTTCAAATCTCAGCATGGCTATCAGACCTGGAGGGCACGAGGTAGAGGTAAAGTGAACTCTACAACTAATCAAAATAAAATCAAAGTAGCTTATCAAGATAAACAGAAAGGTTGACCTCACTAGACAACATTGGTGGAGGTTGTATTGGAGGGAATGGCTTTGCTTGAAACAAATTAATGTCTCGTGGATTACGTTTTTTTAAAACCCTATTGCACTAGCACAGTGTTTCTCAACCTTGACAATTTTAAGGCATGTGGACTTCAACTCCCAGAATTCCACAACCAGCAATGCTGTCTGTGGAATTCTGGGAGTTGAAGTCCACATGCCTTAAAATTGTCAAGGTTGAGAAACACTGCACTAGCAGTTTAACCATTACAAGATGCCTCAAAAATGACACCAAACTGATGCACTCCCTCTCATGAACTTTAATAGCACCTAACAGTATAATAAACTATCTCAAGGGACTTTCTTTTTTATTTCTTCCAGATCTTTGTCTGCTTTGATGCCAAAGAGATCACTGTGAAAATGCCCAAGGGAGAGGAAATGAAGTTCCCAAATAGGTTGGAAGTGGATACAGTGGATTATTTCTCTATTGTTGGTGATGTTAGAATTAAATCTGTCAGATTTGATTGATCCCAATCCTTGTTTTGCACCCAAAAATAAAACTTGCATGAATAAAGTGAAACTATCCTGGCGTGATTCTGTCATTCAATCTTTGTTTGTCCGTAGAAATGCTGGTTTATATTTGCATGCAGTAATTCCAATTTTGCTTCCTGTTCAAATGTGAAGAAATGTCTGCTGGGATCTTTTGAAACTAGTTCAGTGAAGCAAGGCATCAAACGCACCTGTAGTTCAGGAAAACCTATGCCTTAAATAAAAGGGTTAGTTTTAAAAGATGCCACCAGACCCTTCCTGAATTTTGGCTGCCCGGGAGAGCAGAGTAAGAAGCAGATCTCTTCTCTTCCATGGCCCAGGTATGAAACTTGTTGGGGTAACTCAAGTTTGGAAAAATTCAAACCAAGTGGACAATTCTACTTGGCCAACAGGTTTTGCCAAGAGGGGGCAAAGTGTCTGAGGTTGCTGTATGGCCGGGGCTGCTGGGAATTGTGGTGTTCTACAGGCTGCTGAATTACAAGTTCCATACTCCTGGGCATAGTATATATTGTGACTGTCAGGATGTAGGAAGAGTCAACAACGTATAGAGTAGTTTGCCTCTAATGGGAATTGCTGGAATTAAATTCAATGAGGTTTCTTATAGCTTCCTTATAGCTTATACATCTTGTGTTTTTTCTCCTATTGTCTTCCTGCCATTCCCCCCCCCCCCCAATCTTGTGGAACAGGCTAGCCTGGGGTCCTGCAATCTCCATAGCTGAGTGGGATTTGAATTGTGGACTTAATTTTAGGATATTCCCTACAACTCACAGGCTATTGACCCCTGACAGTGCTGAATTTCTATTGAAGCCAGGCTAGACCTGTATACTAATGTAAAATGGTTTGCCTGGATTTGGCCTAGAAAGCTGGGCCACTCCCACCATAGGTTGTAAATCATGGCTTATGGTTTGGTTTATTGATAGAAGACAATATGTGTAGCTCAGGGTTAAACTGTGGGGTCCTTGATGTTCTTTGAGCTTGGTGGTTTGCTTGTAGACATTTCATTACCCAACTATCATCACTAAAACAATCTGGCACTGATGTTAACTCAATTTTGTAATGAAACCTCTGGAAGAAAACCAAGTTCAGAGAATACTAAGGACCCTCGTGGTTTGGTATAAGTTAAAAGCCAGCTAATTATGGCTTGTGTAATCTGTAATTAGTTTTTAACAGGTGTGAATGAAACCCAACTAATTCTGGCTTGCCCCTCACCACCCTCCTACTATTGGCTTCTGGTGGTTCATTCTGCCCCTGAAACCCTAGTTCCTCTGTTTGAACCCCATTCTGTAAAGTAGAAGAAACCACATTTCCCTCATGGATGGGTGTCTGAGGGAATCTTCAAGGTTTATGGAGGATAACAAAAATGGATTATGGGCTATTAAGTTGCTGTTTATTCGTATAGCCATATAGATATTCTCCATGATGATCCATCCTTAACCTGGTCCCTCAGATTTTGCAAAGGTGCCCCTATTACCATTGTGCTCACCCCCTTTGCTGCTGATCTTGCTGATCATTTATACCTCCAGCGAGAACTCGAGTTGGTTTGTTTTTCAACCTTGGCAATTTTAAGAGGTGTGAATTTCAACTCCTATGCTGGCTGGGGAATTCTGGCAGTTGGGAGTTCACACAACCTGCCTCCAGAAGCGGTGAATGCTCCAACACTGGAAGTTTTTAAGAAGAGACTGGACAGCCATTTGTCCGAAATGGTATAGGGTTTCCTGCCTGAGCAGGGGGTTGGACTAGATGACCTCCAAGGTCCCTTCCAACTTTCTTCTTCTTCTTCTTCTTCTTCTTCTTCTTCTTCTTCTTCTTCTTCTTCTTCTTCTNATTATTATTATTATTATTATTATTATTATTATTATTATTATTATTATTATTATTATTATTATTATTATTATTTACATCTTACAGTTGCCAAGGTTGAGAAAAACTCTCTTAGGTTATCCACTGTTTTCTTGGCTGTCTACAGTCCTCAGAAAACTACTCCAACACCAAAGTTCAAAGAATCTTAAAAAACAGGAGAAGGCAGCCTTTCCAACCCTACTTATTGTGGTTTTTTTTTGGGGGGGGGGGACACTGCTCCATCAATATTTCCAATTTCCCCCCCCAGAAGGAAAAAAAAAATATATGAAAGCCTAAAACGGGGAAAAGAAGCGCTTTTGTATGTGACAGGTGTTGCCAATGTGCGCCAATCGCGACTCCAAGGCCACCTGGCTCAGGAGCACCGGTGGGTGGTGGAGGCAGTCAAGGCCTTAACCGCGGCTAGAGACTCCGCGTGGGTGGGAGTGGCGAGCGGAAAGATCAAAGGCAAGCGGCGGGGGAAGCCTGAGAATCCTAGTCTGAGGATTCTAGGTGGGCGTGGCCAGGGGCGGGTTGGGCGGGGAGACTTCGGCTCCTATGAAAGGTTTCGCGGCGATTTCGATTTTTCTGTGCAGTTCGCCGGTCCTCCTGGCGCTCCGCGTCTCTGAGGGCGCTTGCCCTTCTCTTTGCACTAGCCCAGTGTTTCTCAACCTTGACAATTTTAAGGCATGTGGACTTCAACTCCCAGAATTCCACAGCCAGCAATGCTGGCTGTGGAATTCTGGGAGTTGAAGTCCACATGCCTTAAAATTGTCAAGGTTGAGAAACACTGCCGTTAGCTGCTCGTCCGGACGTTTAACTTCTGGCTTTGGATACATAGTAAACAGGTTTCTCTCTCGTCTTAAATCTGGTTTGTTTAATGTCTCGGGGTTTTCTCGCTGCCTTCTGCGGAACGGTTTTGGAGTCGAAGTGAATCGCCTCCGAGTTGGTCGGCCCACGGTGTAATGATGTGCAACGCAGCGTAATTAAGAAATTAATGGCAATTTTATTTATTGGCATTGCTGTGGGAGATGCCGTGGCGTTAATGAATAGTAAATATTAATTAAATGTATTATTTAAGTAGTGTTTAATAGCTAAGTGCTTATTTAACATTTAGAACCAAGTATATTTGGTTTTAATATTTTTATTTTAAATGCTCTGTTTTCCGGTTGTGCACCGCCCAGAATTTGATACAAGATGGAGAGGCCATATAAACCTTTTCAATAAATAAAACGCTATCTTATGGGGGACTTTCAAATGTCAAATTCAGATTTTCAAGCATCCTTTTTGACTAGTGGAGTCAAATGGTGAATGGAAAGTATTGAGGTTTTTTTATTTATTTATTTGCTCCAATTCTGTCCCCAAGGAGCTGAAGGAGTGGTGTCTAAAAAGTGTGAAAAAAGTTTTCTCCCTTAAATTTTGAACAACCACCTTGTGAGACGGTACAAAAAGTTTTTTTTTTTAAAGAGGGAAAAGCTTAATTGTGCCTGAAAGCATTTCATCAGATGTATGTATACTCCGATATGTGGGTGGAACTCATTTCAGTGGCTTGTTGGGGATAATAGACAGGGATTGTTTGTAAGCCTTTTTTAAAAAAACAAACAAACAAGAAGTACAACTTAATTATATTAAAATTACTAGAGAGAAAGATACAGGTAATCCTCAACTTATAACAACTGAGCCCAACATTTCTGTTGCTACGTGAGACAGATGTTAAGTGAATTGTGCCCCATTTTACGTCCTTTCTTGCCACAGAAAGCTGGATGAGCATCACTGACTTATGCTGGTGGTGGTGTTGGGAGTGACATCAGTACTGTATTACATCTACTGTCTCTGCCTTTACATTTTGCACATTTGCCTAGTACAGGGGTCTGCAACCTTGACAACTTTAAGACTTGTGGACTTCAGCTCCCAGAATTCCTCAGCCAGCATAGCAAGGTTGCTTGAACAACTGAAGCAGCAGGCAGGAGGCAAACAAACCTGGGAAAAACATCAGATGCCTTGGAAATATTTATGCAGGAATCACCAAGCCCTCATCTGCAAGTGGTGTGCTGGATCCAGAGTTCACGAAGGTCACATCCAGGTCTCCGCGGAGCAAGCAGCCCAAGAATTTAAGGTGGGTGGATGGGAATCCTGTGTTTCTAAGGTGCTGGTATAATAATGGTCTGTTTTTCAAAAAAATTATTTTTTTTTTAAAAAAAAAATATTATTATTTTTTTTTAAATGTGGACAAAACTTGGGAGCTGGCTGTGGGATTCTGGGAATTGAAATCTACACATCTTAAAGTTGCCAAGGGGGTGGGGTGGTGGGAAACATGGACTTAAATGTTCCAGAAAATGGATTTCTTTTTAAAAAAAACTTTTAAAAAACTGAGCTCTTTTCTATTCAGTTAGTAAAAAAACAAATTGCCATGTTGGAGAGCTGTGACTCCCTTAATTGCAATGCATGAAGGACAACAAGTCAGATAGTCTGTTGCATATATTTTTCCTTACCAAAGTGTCTATTAAATTGTGGTGGAATGGTTTGACAACCTGATGGGATAATTATTGGTACTGAAGGACTGAAAAGCTTAGTCTTTAATTTATTAGCCTTTCGTTCAGATACACATGGTAAGTATATAGTGGCACTTCCTCCCATTATTTGCCCTAAACCAGGGGTAGGCAACCTCGGCTCTTTTATGACTCATGGACTTCAACTCCCAGAATTCCTGAGTCAGGAATTCCTGAGTCAAAGGTTGCCTACCCCTGCCCTAAACCATGGTTGGGTTGAGGCAGGTTTGGGCAACATGTAATCCCCATATGTCACCAAATTACTGATTCCATTTTAAGTGAGCTACAGCTTGCGAAATCTTGTATCTTTTAATAAAATAAAGGCAGTCCTCGACTTACCACCACAATTGACCCCAACATTTATGTTGCTAAGTGAAATATTTGTTAAGTGAGTCTTGCCCCATTTTTACGACTTTTCTTGCCACATTTGTTTAAATGAATCACTGCAGTTTGTTAAGTTAGTAACATGATTGTTAAGTGAATCTGGTTTCCCCATTGATCTTGCTTGTCAGAAGGTCACAAAAGGTGATCACATGACTCTGGGACATTGCAGCCGTCATAAATACAAGTCAGTTGCCAAGCACCCAAATTTTGATCCCGTGACCACGGGGATTCTGCAACATTCGTAATTGTGAAAAATGGTCATAAGTCACTTT